GTGTAGGCGGCGAGGAGTGGCGGCGAAGAAAGACTCAATCTGAGCCAGCAGTCGCTCTTTTTCAGCCTCAAGAGCAGCGACCCAATCTCCTAAGGTCGAAGCTTCCCGGTCGATCTCACCAATGCGCTCCTCAAGCCTCGCCTCCATCAGCGTTGTCGTAGCTCTCTACAACTCCTGCTCAGATTGGAGGACGCGGATAGTGTTCTCCAGTGCCGCCGCCCTTGCTGAAGCCGCAGACCAGACACTCTCGATACTCTCCAGTCCAGCGACCTTTCTCTCCAACTCGTCCATCTTTCCCATCTCTACACTCATCTCCTTGACCTTGATAAGGTTCTGGTCCATTTCAGCCTGCATCTACCTTAGCCTCCCCTGCAGATAGTCACACTCTACAGCCACCCCCTTACCCACCTCGAGCTCTTCATCCTTCGCGCGAAGCTGCTCTTCGAGCACACTGTTCCTACGAATGGCCTCCATCAACTGCTGATCTCTCTTCTCTAATTCCTCGCCGAGGGATCGAGCACCATGATTCTCCCTCAGTCGCTCATACATCTTACGGCACGTGTTCCAATAGTGTCGATACTTTTCCAACATCTTCAAGAAAAGCTTGGCCCGAATGTCGGCCCTGCGCATACTCTCCACTTCCACCATGTAGGTCTGAAAAATGAGAAGGTGGGTTAAAACCATATCAACAAGAAAAATGAGAAAGGTATAAAAGAAAGGGCAACGTACCCTCAAACCCATAGCAGCCACTTCATTCATCAAATTGACATGAGGAATGCTCCGGAGAAATCTCGGCATCAGAACAAAGAATGTCAAACTGTGGCACCAGATCCTCTGTGTCCCCTAGGAGATTAACATCTGAAGAAATTTCAAGAATACGGGCCAGCCCTCCTGCACGAACCACCGAGTGGGTGATACCCTCCTCAAACATCCTCACATCATCAGGATCGAGGTCCAACTCGGATTCATAATCGTCAACCACAATACCCTTTCCTCTTTCAATAGTTGAGGACGAAGCACGACCAGGTACGGGGGACGAGGGTACATCCGAAACTACAACGGCAGCCTCAAAAATCTGGCTTCCCGTCACGATAGGTTGTTGATCAACAACAACAACAGGAATCTCCGTCGACGGGGTAGATGTGACGGCTATCTCCATCTCTACGAGCGGAAAGGTATCAACCCCCGCCCCAGATTCTATCACGGGAGAGTCATTCAGGTGAATTACAATCGGAGGGGTTGCCTCGAATTCCACTCGCCGCCTCTTAGACGACCCTTGTTCTTCCTCAGCACGGGGAGATTCACCCGTCTGACGAGCAACATGAGTCGGAACTTCAGTCTGAGAAGTGTCCTCCGCAGGAATAACCGCAGCCGCCGACTCGACCGATGCAGCCCTCGACGAAGGCTGAACAGCAGGTGCTGCAACAGGGTGAGCAGATAATGCCGGTTGACGAAAAGCCAATGAAGGAGCCCTCGCTCTCCACACTCTCCATGGCATCGACAAACAACATATAAGAAACTAAGTAAAAAGAGAGGAAATATAACAAACAGAAACAATATCTCACTTGTAAGGGGCCTGCATCCAAATTTTTCATATAAGCCCGACCAGATTCGAACCCCCGTATGGGGAAGGATGGCGCTCACCCACTCGCGGATACCTTCGATAGATGGATGAGGCAATTTTTTGGCTGTAGAGACATAATAGGGTTTAGTACTATAACGGAAAATGGTCGGATACATCTCTAACTAAAAGCATAAGAAACTTACGTGCAAAGTTCCACTTCTCAGGGAACCCCGTTAGATCCGCCACAATGTGCTCAGTCCGCACATAGAAATAATTCTCATAGAAACGACGGTTAGCCCTGTCGGCCATTTTTACCACCAGACCCTTCGACCACCGAGGACGCATGTGAAGCATCGTGCCGCAGATAAGCTGAGGGGTGAAGATATTGAGCATGTGATCCAAGGCGATCTCACGACCGGCGAGTTCCGCAAACTTGAGCAACATAAGGAATAATTTGTACAGGTACGATGAAAGTTGGGCGGGGCATACCTCATAAAAATGGCAGAAGTTTAACCCCAGGAGAAGAAGAGGAAGTCTGTATCCAATAAGAAAGGGGTAGGCGTAAAATACACAATACCCAAGACGGTCAAAATAAATTATGTTGTTTCCAATCGCCAGTCGCATGTCGATGTAACCAGGGTTCCCCCACCTGGATTTCAACTCTGCAATGTCCTCTTCTCTCATAACAGAAGGGACGGGCTCCGGCTCTGCCCCGGTGCGACTGCTAAAGTCGGTCAATTCTCTCCTAGGGCGAGGCAAAATCTCAACTACTGACGGGACTTCCTAGTCTTCCATCGCTTCTACCCCTCCAGTGGCCTGAGCAACATTCTCTAGTGCCGAATTGTGACAGGGAGATCGGTGCAAGAGGAATCACCAGCCATTTTGTCCATATAATGCGGCAAAACGACAACGAAAAGAAATGACGCAAATTTTCAGTTAACTAAGGGCAAACAAAAACTCGAAGTGTCAAGGAGAAAGTATATCTGCAGAATTCTTTCGAAGTAAAAGGCAAAGAAGTGTGCCAATCGAATGTTGAGTTCCTTCTATTTATAAGAGACATAAATCCCCCAAGCACGAAACCCAAGAGTCGCCAATCGAATCTGATAGGGTACGAAACATTTCAGTTCCCCAGGAACGTATGTCATAATGGCGGCAACCACGAAATAATGCTTTAATGACAAACGACGTTTCGGTTCCGAAACAGCCGCAACGGTCCAAGTTGAGAATGCCGCCATCTCACTTGAAACCCATGTAACGTAACTAAGGAAAATTTTGCTCAAATTTGTAGCAATCATGATCCGCCTGCCAGGCCTGACAGGGGAAGACCCCGGCAAATTGAGGGACTAACTGTATTGGTCAAAATTTGACCGTCATGGCCGAGTTGACCAACGTCTCGCCCAAGTGACAAGGCAGTAAAAGACGACATGGCCCACTCTACATCTGGCACTCTCGACACCCGTCGACTCAGAAGGAGCAATGATTAAAGGATGCCCGAGGCACACTTGGTGCGAGACAGCATCAGACGAGGTAAATAACAAAGGTTCCTTGACTATATATAGTAGGAGAAAACCCTCGATAGGAGGGGGGCTCTCTTTCCCATTCTCTCCCCTAAGTTCCCTTCTTGTAATCTTCATAGGAAGGAAGTAGTCTACAGAAAAACATGTAAAACTACCTCTCTCATCAATCGATGAAAGCCACAATGAAGAATTTCAATAAGATCGATTATATCTATTTCATATTATATATTATCTATTCTGTTAGCTCATTGATCTGGAATTTATTATGTTTGACTAAAATTTACCCATTTATTTTCTTTGATTGATTTATTAAAAAAGGTTCCGATATCTTTTGAGTCAAACAATAATTACCTCAGAATTTAATTAAAAGCCCCTTTTTGTAAGGTTCTTAGCATATATCGCCTTTTGTTCTGCTGATCAGTAAAAAGAAAAATAAATGAACTTAGCAATTCGAGAGGTTCAAGATGATGTTACATTTGTGATCATGACTTATAGCCCGTTTGGCCAAGCTGCAAAAATCAGCTTATTTTGAGAAGCGTTTTTTTTCAAAAGTGTTTTTCTCAAAAGTACTTTTGGTGAGAAACAGTTTGTGTTTGGCTAATTAGTTTGAAAAGCGCTTCTGAGCAGCAATTAGTGTTTGGCCAAGCTTTAAAAAACTGCTTCTAAGTGTATTTTTCTCAAAAGTGTTTCTCAAAAAAGTGTTTTTGGAGAGAAGCTACTTTTTTCTGTTTCTCCAAAATTGCTTCTGCTTCTCCAAAATTGCTTTTGTATGAGGCAACTTTTTTGTCTCACAATTTTGTGGACCCAGAAGTGTAAGATTGGGGTCCACAAATTTATGAGACAAAAAGAAGTCTCATACAATTAATGTAAATGGTATGAGACACAAAATAAAACTTCTCATAATCGAGTGTAGAACAGCAAATGGACAGTACAGTAAGCAAGTTGATGTCCTTAAGTGGTGGAAAGGTTCAGAATACGGAATGAACTGTGAAAGAAGACCCAAAAGGAGCGAGCAAACAGCATAAGAGCCGGAGTGGCTTTCCATTATTTACGCCAGCTGAATGGCACTTCCCTATCTACCTAATAGTAACTTAAAATTCAGTTCATCACAACTGGAAGATCTTTTTCGCCTAATCACTATTATGTACTTTATTTTATATTCGACTGGATATATAACTTAGTTAAAATAAATATTGTTGCTATATACCAAAAGTACATTGAAATATGTGGTCTAAAATATGTGGATACTCCTGTAATAAAATCACAAAGCATGTCAAGAGCAGAGTTGGATGCCTCATATTGTATAGGTTTTGATCAAAGCACTAGTACTCATTAAACAAGCAAACGAAGGCACATATCACATATGTATAGGTTTCATATTTAGATGCACCACCGTCAAAAAAAGAAACGGGCAATAAACGGACTATGGAAAAGCAATCATGCTTGGTTTTTTTTTTTAATTCTAGTTGTTGCCAAAAACTATTTATGTTTGACAATCGAAAAAATATATTCCGTCTGTTCCAATTTATGTGAACCTATTTTCTTTTTGGTCCGTTCCAAAAAGAATGACTACTTTCTAAATTTGGTAACAATTTAGCTTAAACTTACTATTCTACCCTTAATGAGAAACTTTTATAACCACACAAATACTCAAGGTCACTTTTTGACTTGTTTAGGACCACAAATTTCAAAAGTCTTCATTTTTTCTTAAACATCGTGCCCAATCAAATAAGTTCACATAAATTGGAACGAATGGAGTACTATAAAATTTGTATAATTTTTGTATATAAAATACAGAATGTGTATATGTATATACAAAAAATATATATTTTTTCGATTATATTTTAAGAACGGCTATACATTATATTTTAAGAACGGCTATATTTTCCGGAAGCATGTAGCTCCCCAGCTTTTCATTCCGTACCATGGCCCGGACAGCAAATGTACCTTAACGCGTACACACTTTCAGTTTAATTATAAATTTGTAGCTCCACCCCCTTCTCTCCCTGCATCACAACTCACCTTCATTTCCAACCTTCCCCATTTTAATTTGCTCCTAAACCAGAGTCCCTATACTACTTTATTTAGGCAGACTCCAACTTTTTTCTGAAAAGCTATCCTCTTCTTCTATTCTTTCTTCAGCCCTGGATGTTGAGAGAAGTGGGTACTACAAGTTGTTGCTGTAGAACAAAAAATGGAGCGTCCTCCGTACTACGCACCGTCCCATATTAATGTGGAGTCATCATCTCGGCCGTCTTTAGGCTTCCCCCTTGGCACTGCCGTTCTCTTAATTGTCATTTTCAGTTTGAGTGGCGTCTCTTCTTGCTGCTATCACTGGGACAAAATTCGTTCCCTCCGCCGTCGATCTTTCCCCGACCTCGAAGGGGGCGATGATCCTGCTTCCTTGAAACCCAAACAAACCCACATGGTAAACAATCTGATATATATATCCCTCTTTTGTTTACTGAATTGTGTGTTAGAGACGGAATTTATTGGATTTAAATAGAATATACATGGAAGTGTAACTAATGTTTACACTTAGTAGTAGTATATTTAACCTTGTTATAACAATGTTTAATTTATAATTACCAAAATTAGATTCATTATAAAGAGTTACTTAAACTAGTTTAGGTTTACAATAAGTTACCTTTTTTTGGTTGAGCTAATTACGTGAAAATATGTCTTTTTCATGTTTGATGGAGAGATCGGAATTGAACTTTTACGCTACTCTATTCCGTTTCAAATTGTGTATAATATCGGATTATGGATAAAATTAACTTTGTTCATTCTCTGTTTTACAGAGTGAGAAGCAGAACCAAAGCCAAATCTTGCCGGCAGTGTTAATGCCAGGTGATCAAGTTCCAAAATTCATAGCATTGCCTTGTCCATGTCAACCTCCTAGAACAGGAAAGGTGGTTGTAGAGGTTCAGACGCCGCCGCGGCCGCCACCTTCACCTCCTAAGCCAATTCGTATGGTGATGGGATTACCTTTGTATTAGTATAAGCAGAGTATTAATGATTTAGGACTGGGCTCATTGGTGTATAGCAGAGTGTATATATTGAATTGTGGTGATCAACTAAACTCCCAATGGGAAACATCAGTTCTTTATTTTGTGTTTTAACAGCTTAATTAATATGCACATTGTATTGGAAAAAAATTGAATTTACATTGAAGGTGACGTGACATGACACGAGGATTGGTCAAATGGTCAAAACATGATGATCAGTTAAGAGACACGAGTGACAACAAATACGGGGAAAGGAAAGCTAAATATGCACGAGAGACAATTCGAATAATACAAGTTTCGTACCTATTTAGGTCATTTAAAGCCAAGAGATCAGAAGGCATTGAAGACATGGATATGATGACAAAAAGGAGTCCAAATTCAATATTAAATACCCAATACGTTAGAGAATTGGTATTAAATAGGAATGATTGTGTAACGTCTTATTTAATGTCATTTATTGTTTATAATTGTCTCATTAAGGTTAAGGTATTACTCCTTTATTTAGGATCAACTATAAAAGGAGGAGGTCAGATCATTTGTAAGGACAAAGGATACCATCAACATTACATTAAAATACAAACTTATCTACTGCTTATTTGTCATTCTTAAAAAGTCTATTATTTCTTTTTCGTCTCCTGATTATCAGTAGCCCGAATTTCTATTTGTTTTAACTTTGACCAAAGAATCATATTTTTGGTTAAACAAATTGGTTCCGTTTCCGGAAAACTGATAATCTTTTCTTTGAAGCTACGTTTTATTCGTCTTTTATCAACATGTCAAACAACAACGACAATAACAGTAATAACACATTGGGAAACCATGAAAATCAAATCCGTCAAACTCAAGGTGATGTGGTTCCCTCCCCTCCAGATTCACCACGTCAATCTCGTGAAGGCACTCCTGCTACTGAATCTCATGCTGATCAACAAGAACAATCTAAACACTTTGAAGGAGGTACAAATGGAGTTTTACAAAAGCTAATTGATGCACAGGTCGGCAAAGCTCTTCAGGCTCTAGTTAGTCGATTGTCTGCTGCACCACCCACACCAACTCCTAATAATAATATATTGGAGAATCTCCGTTCTGGTCTTGTTAATTCTGGAAATGGAGGAACCACTAGTGAACCACAGGAAGGGGGACCAGGTAATTCAAATAATTCCTATTTGCAAAATTTAGTACTAACCTTGCA